GAAACCATGTTTCCGGATAGGTATATACTTGAAACCCTAATCAAAGCATCCAAGTAAAAATGTTCATTACGCTCCTCCATCGGATTCATGTCTCCGTCTTCCCCATACATCACCGTACTCTTATCAATCTTTGCATACAGGACAGGTTGCTTCCCACCTCGATACACGGTTGGCACAAAAGACAGCTAATTCGGCCATGTACAAATAACTTTCTGTCGTTATTTTGGAATATTACGAAACTTCCTCACAGGATAGAACTCGCCTTTCCTAAAAATCCTATCGTTTTTGTTTTTCGATTTTGTTACATTTTGGCGGGAAAATGACGTGCCAACTTTGGCGCCAAAAAATTAAACACGAGCTAAGAACGTGCTAGTAACTTTTTTGAAAAGATTGTCCTCTAAGGATCTCATAACTGTAAAAATATTAAAAATACAACAAGGCAGTGCGAAGATATGGCTATTCAAAATTCTATTTTTACTGAAAAATCAGCCATTTTGTTACTAAAAATAGATTTTTTTCGAACTTTGAATCGCCATATCTTTGCACTGCATTGTTGTATTTTTAATGTTTTTACAGTTTTGAGATCCTTATAGGACAATCTCTTCAAAAAAGTTACTAGCATTTTCTTAGATCGTTTTTATTTTTCTGGCGCCAAAGTGGGCACGTCATTTTCCCGCCAAAATGTAACAAAATCGAAAAACAAAAACGATAGGATTTTTGGGAATTGCAAGTTCTATCCTGTGAGGAAGTTTCGTTATATTCCAAACTAACGACAGAAAGTTATTTGTACATGGCCGAATTAGCTGTCTTTTGTGCCCACCGTGCTGTATACCTTGAACTTGTGGTTAAAGCTCGACAAGTGGATTCTGTAGCTCAGTTGGTTAGAGCGCTGCACCGGAATCGCAGGGTCGCAGGTTTGATTCCTGCCAGAGGGCCTATATAGTTGCATTTTTTGCACCTGCTCCTGGTTTGGTGTATAAACGTATAAAATTTACACTCGAGATTTCCATCTACAAAAACCCTTCAACATTTAGTATCGAGTGAGGTGTCCAAAATCCTGTAATATATTTACCTTTTTTCCTTCATCATGATATAGTCGTAATCAATGACTTGTAAGCAGGGACGCCAGAAAGGGGGGGGGGAGGGGGCATCGCCCCCTTGCCCTTTAGTAAGGGGCGAAAGTGCCCTTATAGATAAAATTTCTAACCCAAAAATATGAGGTACAACGATTAAAAAGTATGAATTACTGGTGAAATGTACGTAATATTGAAATATACGTGAGATTTTTTGGAATATTGTGTCAAAAATTGTGTTTTCAAAATTTTTTGCCCTTGTTTTGGTGAATTAAGGTCCCAGAAAAAAATTTCGGAAACGAAATATTAATTAGTGATTGCCCTTACGTCAACATTGCCCCCCTATGCCCTACCCTCGCTCCGGCCTCCCTGCTTGTAAGCTTTTTCAGTAATTCTTGTATGTACATATTCAATGTATCATGAACATGGCCGCCGAGAGGTTCAACGCTCAGCCCGGGCCAAAACTTTTCAAAGACCCGCTATGATGTCATAATTGTAAAAGGGGAGAAGCGTGTTTCACAATATATCACAGACTCACAATTTATTACTCCGCCTGCGCATGCGCAGTGCGGAGTCTAAAAATGCCTGAGTCTGTTGTCGGTTGTCGACTGTCGGTTGTCGACTATCGACTGTCGGTTGTCGACTGTCGATTGTCGACTGTCGTGTGGTGTCACAAACAGGCTCCTTGATAAATGTGTACATTCCATGATATTTAGATACTTTCTATTGACATTTGTGGATAATGTTATACGATTTGGCAGCGCAATGCGCATGCTTATAGCTCTGCTTACAGTATTTTTCTAAACTGCGACACAGAATAAGGTACACAGAAGGTCGACTCGAGTAACGCTGCCACGCCATGATTCATCATCAAAATGCTGACGCCATGGTCCTAGCCAGTGCGGGTTTGAGAGGCATTCCCCCCCTGGACATCCGCCATTTTGAATAATATCAGGGGGGTGAACATAGAGATTATAAATAACACTAGAGGAGGCATTGTAATCTTTATTCAGTAAAAAAAGGGAACGCTACTATTGGGGGGCAAATTCAAGTCCCGGATGTGTATTCGTGTTCTCATTGGTGACGAGTTTCAAATCAGCCAATGAGAGCAC